CCTTCCCTTCCCTTGCCAATAAAATATTATTATTTTATGTATAACATTATTTATATATATGTGTGTGTGTTGAATCCAAATCAGTCTTTCGACGGGGAGGGGGGAAGAGAGAGAGGATTGACCCGTCGGAGGGCAAATTGGCTCGGCGGCACATTTTATTCCATATAAGCTTGGGTTACAAGTGAAAGAGAATGGGAGCAGACTCCCAACATGAGGGGCAGAGAGGGACAACTTAAAGGAACCCATTTTACATGCCAAGGAGTCTTTTATTTATAAAGAAAAAGAGGAAGAGATGAAATTATATTTATGCTCTTCTGATAAGGAGGGTCATGATGGGTACTTCAGCCTTTTTCCTTCTCGAACTGGTCTTCCTGAATCTCTTTCTTATTGTTGGATTCGTCGGTATCGAGTGGTCGGCCCAAGTGGTCCAGTGGCAAATAAAGTATTGAAGTTTAGGTGTTAGTTATCTAAAGATGAAAGATCGAAGAATATGCTTATAAATAATTACCTTTTAGTCGTATATATATTTATAAAAATTGAGTGGTATGTAAGCAAATTTTCGATTTGAGAGGTGGTCGACTGTCAGCTGGAGCAGTGAAGCGACCGGCAGGAGCAACAAGGAAGCCAACCAGCTAGTGGGCGAGGTAGCATGATTTGGTGTTGTCTACGTAAATTTTTCACTTTTCAAGAGTTTGGTCGGACTTGGTGGTCAACCGTGATGGCGAGGCGGCCGCCCAGTGGATGGTCGGCCCGAGGGGAAGGTTATTAGCTAGAAGGCGACCAGCCAGCGAGCGAGATAGCAGACTAGAGGGTGACCAACAAGGTTTGGGTGGTAATTATGTAAATCTACCATCTTATAAGAGCTAACCAGCCATGGTGGCCGGCCAGTGGATGGTAGGCCAGAGTGGGAAGCGGTAGCCAGTGTTTGGCCAACCAACGGGTTAGGTGGTCGACCAAAGGCTGGCCGACAAGTTTTGGTGCTATTTTATGTAAATCTTTTATTTTTTAAGAGTTGGTCCATGGTAGCCGGTCGGATTTGCGAGGCGGCAGACCAGGGTGGGTGGCGGTCGGTCAGTGGGCAGTTGGCCGACGGGTGAGGTGGCCGGCCAAAGGGAGGTCGTCAGATTTTGGTGGTGCACAACACATAGAAATGTATGTATGTATGTATGTATGTATGTATATATATATA